TTAATATTATTATTATTATTGTTATTGTTGTTATTGTTGTTGTTATTGTTGTTGTTGTTGTTATTGTTATTATTGCTATTGTTGTTGTTTATAATTTATACAATTAACCTCCCTGTGGTTCGACCCCGGTCTTGCCGGGTTATTTATTACTTTGACACTCCTGCACTTGGGAGAAGACATCAATCTTTTCGTCGTGTCTGACGTCATATGTTGGTTTACTCCAGTGTCAGAATACCATGTCTTTTCTGCAGTTTCACCAATTTTGATTGCAGTAAAGGCCTTGTATTGATCAGCTTCTTCATCATATGCAAAGCATCCATCTACTTTGTGATTAGGTCCCCCACATCGAAAACAAGTGATGCCACCACGTCCACGATGTGAGATTTATTTCTAACAAGTTCCAGTTAAGCTTCCATTTTGGTGAGGAAAACGAGTCTCTTTAGCTCGTAGTGGAGCGTTATTAATGGGATTTCTTCTAGTGAAGTTGTGATGATTGCAACCATGAGTGCTGGTGTTTATCCATGGCTTTGAGCTTATGCAGCCATGATTTGTATAAAAAGCCACAGAAGTAGTAGTTATTCATGCTCTTTGAATTCAAATTTCAAAGTCACGGAGTTTGCCAATAACTCCTTCAAGAGATGGAAAGATATCTCTAGCATTTAATGTTACTACTATAGGATCAAATTCAGATCCTAATCCTCAAAGAATACAAATGATGAATTCATTATTATCCAGTGGTTTACGTGCACCATAGAGAGACAAAGCCAAAGATTTTTCTTTGTGTAAATAATCTTTTAGTGAAGAGGTACCTTTTATCAAGTACTGTAGTTTGCCTTTAATTTGTTGGATGCGATCTCGAGTGTGAGTGCTATAAATAGTCTCTAACACTTGCCATGCATCATGCGAATATTCACTATTGATGACTTGAGAAAGAGGTCCATCAGATAATGAACTATTGATCCATCCAAGGATCAATTGATCCGTGCACAGCCACACTGTTGCAGTAGGATTTGTTTGCAACTCACCATTCTCACCAATAATAGTTGATTATGGGCAGGGAACTTCATCCTTCACGTATCTAAGGAGTCTATAACCATGTAAAACAAGAATAACCTGTGCTTTCCATAAAAGATAATTGTTTAAAGCCAGCTTGATGGAGATATCAGGCAGATGTGATTTCAGGAGTGTAATCTCAAGAGAAGAAGCAGGGAACATTGTTTGAACTAAAAAGAAAGATGTCATAGTGATAGAAGGCTCTGATACCATATAGGAGAGCTGAACTTATTATTCAATGTATTGTTTGTGCCTTTAAATAGGCATTACATACAATACAGGACATTACAGGTCTTTGATTATTACTATATATATACATGATTTGATATAGGAATTACAGAAATCATGAAGTAAATAGAACGAAGAATTATAGCAGGGGATCTTTTAGTAGAGTGATGTATGCAAAAGATCTGTGTAGGATTTCTGCACTTACATCTTGCATAGGATCTCTACATATATTTCCATTATTCTTTCATAATTGGAGGAGATGGAACTCAGAAAGGGTATTCAGTGATTTTCAAGGTAAGTCTACTTTGCATACAAGTAAAAGGATTTTTCACAATAATTTTTGAAGTATTCACTAATAAGTAAAATAATTTAGTTTATTATCAATTCAATAATTGATTAATTTATATTTAAAAATCAAGTATATTATCTAATAACTTATTATGATCCCTCAAATATTAGAAAAGTTATAAGTGATTTAATTTAACCCTTCAGTGACTAATTTTTAGGTATAATTATTATTTTTCATCATGAATATTTCAATTTAAACATTATAGTATAAAGTATATCTACTTTGTTAAATTGTTTTAGTTCTCAATATTATAGTCATTGATTCATTGAATAAGATTTTGAAACTCTTTTCAAAACTCATTTCACCTTGACCAAAGATTTCACAATCAATGTTATTTGAGAATATATGGAATATTTTTTAAAAATTTATCTAGAATGATGAATCCTCTCTTAATTACTTAAATATCTTCATATAGTTTATGTTATACCCAATATCTACTTGTTTATTGCTTTTAATTATGACAACACGTATATAGGATGAAAGCATAATACTCCTTATATAAAATAATTTAATATTCTGAAGTCTAATGATCATTTACACAACTATCACAAGAACATTTTCATAAATATAGGTGATCTCTCCATATGAAATTTTCTTGTAGGTCAGTTCAGTGTATATGTTATCTGTCAAGCACTTGCATATTAGTTGCAAGTATCCCTCATACCTCAGTTTATGAAAGTAATTGTTTCCCTTCATAAAATAAGGAATATAATATGCATTAATCCCAATAACTCTCATTAATATTTAATCTTAATAGAACATTGACCAGAAATATTTAAAAATAATATTTTGATATAATATGAATGTTTTAATTATAATAATTTTATAATTTTTTTATAAAGTATTTTTATCACGTAAATTTTATCCTTACTCTAAATTTATTAATAATATAAATAATTATTAAAAATAAAAAAAAAATTATTAATACATAAACAAAATCAATATTATATATAACCAACCAATTCTCTACTACAAATATTCACTAGCACCCCCAGGTTTTGCTATCTGAATTGAACGAGAAAATCAAAAACAGGATTTTTAGCAGTGTACGCCACTCTTGCCAGTAGAGATGTGGACTGTGTTGTTTGCTTCCAAAATCACCCTTCTATCTTGATGGGGCAGGAGGACTATTTGAATACATTAAGAAAAGGCTAAAAGAGAACGGGCATATGGTTATAGTAATAGCTGAAGGGGCAGGACAGGAGCTTCTTCCTGAAAGTATACTTTCCATGAATAAACAGGATGCTTGGAAACAAGTTACTCCAAGATGTTTGTCTGTGGTTATCTCAGAAGATGAAGGTATGCTGATGCTCTGCCTTAGAAATGATGCTTTACAAAACCATTTCCATGGATTTTAGGGGCGAATTATAGGAGTAGCAACGCAACAGGGATTTTCGGGCATTGTGGTGTAGGACAAGCTGTTGGGTGTGGGGACGAAAGATGGTTCACATCCAGCTGCAAATCAAGCTGGAAAGGAAGGGAAGATTTCAGTGCAGCAAATTAGGCTGGACAGTAGGGAAGATTTTTTGGTGGTTTGTCTGCCAAATTGTTGGGAGAAATCGTGGATGAAAATGGGATGCGTTCCCATTTCAACTATGAATAGAGAACTTATGAGAGCAGAAAAACACACAGCAACAACACACTAAAAGGAAGAGAGAAGCGAGGCAATTACAGAGATATTGAGAGTTGAGAGTTGAGAAGAGTTTTCTCCTCCTCCCTTGATGTAGATTGTAGTTCTCTCTATCTAGTAAAATCAGTAGCTCTGTGCAATTGCCAAACCACCTTAAATGTTGTGTTCTTGATTCTGGGCATCAAGCTCGGGTCTTGACACAAGCCTTTTTCAAGTTTTGGTGGCCTGCCAAGGCATGCGGTTATGGTCAGATATAGATGAAACTAGGGATGAATAGGGAATTGGTACTGGTAGGAATTGAGATAAAACCAGTGCTTAAAGCAATTTTCAACGAAAAATTCTCCAGTGATATTCCATTCATCTTCAAGAAATCAGATTCCAGAAAGCTTTCAAAAATTACAGCATCATATGACAATCACTGATTTAAGAAAATTAGAGAGGACGCAGAACCCAAAATTGTTAAACTGCTACCATAACATTAAAACAATTATTATATGTTTGAAAATTGGCATAAACTGCGATGCTGTAGTAGCTGTAACTTTATTTGGACTTCAAAATGTTTGTTCTATAATCTTTCCTTTCTAATCAAGATAAAGTTTGTCATTTTTGGGCAAGAAGATTTTTCTCACGTCACTGGACAATTTTCCTCTTGCAGGATCACTTTGCAAGTCAGAAAAAGATGACGATAAATCTAAAATACATAGGTCAGTAATCAGTCAACAAAAGTTTTCTTTCGTATATATTCCAACATTGTTGAATTGCAAACAGCCATTTGAAACAGTCAGCATAACCAACAATGGTAATGATCCCACAACATTGCAAGTCCCTCTTTGCCAGAAGCAAATCTCATCCATTTTCCTTCCCATGATTGCTTAGGTGTGTTCAAGTTCAGAGTTCAACAGGGATTCACTCTTCCTTTCCTGATGCATTCCTCGCCACTAAATTTTTTATCTTAAATGGATTCTGTTACTTCTGTATCTGCACCATTCTCTGCTGTTACTTCTGTATCTGCACCATTTTCTGCTGTTACAACCTTTACAGGGAATCAGAATATATCGAGCTCGCTCGGCTTCTCTATGAGCGTCATCGAGATGGTTGCTTTTCGTACTCAAATTATCATGTATTTATTGGACTAATCCCTGATCACCAGAGCTTTGTAATTTGTCAGAGGACTTATCACGCTAGTGTTTAGGACAGAAGTGCAGATTTTAGAATCTATCCTCCTCTTGTGCTCTGGCTCCAAGCCAAGGAGGTTGTGAAACCAGTAAAGTCTGTGATCAACCTTGACAGCAGAATAAGAATGTCATTCTAGCAATAGCTAAATGTGCAGCCTACCAAGTCCCAGGACCATCATGTTGAACGGATAAACAAGGGCATCCAATTCAATAAAATCTTATTTATTTGTGTATCAAAAACATTTTAAAAAAAAATTAAAATTTTTCTTATTTTTTACTTCAAATTAATATATTTTTTATATTTTTAAATCATTTTAATACACTGATATTAAAAAAAATTTAAAAAATTATTTTAATATATTTTTTTAATAAAAATACTTTAAAACACAACTATACCCACTCTCTACGAAGATATCTCTTTATTAACGTCCCTGCTGGTTTTTACAGGTAATCCCATTTTGCATTTCTTGGATGGGCCATATATAGAACACCATTAAGGATTGATTCACGAGGGAATTGATCAGAGAAACACGATCATATCAAATCCATTAAACATTTTAACATGACTACAGATTTTCTAACAATAACAAATACAATATGTACAAAGCATTACATCTCTCCACCAGCCCTGTGTGCAAAAAATGGCAGAATAATTTCCAACTTCATTTCATCAAGCCTTGAATACAGTGTTGATGACTTCTTTTAGATTCTTGCACCCAACAATTTTCATCCCTTGGAAACCTAGATTTGCAAGAGATTTTTCAGCTGATTTCGGGATTACGCACATTTTATATCCCAGTTTCGCGACAGTATGTACTCTTTTCTCCATCCTGGGTACCTGCAATGTCGTGACAAAAATATATACATTAAACAAGGCACATGCAACAAGATACTCCGTAACTCCACCAAGAAATAGTGAAAGATATAGATGTTTCAACTATCAAGGAACATGTTATGGCTCTAAACGTAGCAAACTTCATGTAATTATCTGCATTGAATGTTATAAAAAACGCACCAACAGCATGTTCTCAATAAAGTAATATATTCCGTAAGCAAGTTGTGCTTTGAGTTAGCAGCATAGTATCCAAACATCATCAGCTTGGCAAAGCTTTAATAACCATGCTTCTCAAGAACTATACATGTTTAGGCAGTGCTGGGCTTGCTGACTAGTTCTAAAATGCTGATTAGGCTTTTCAAAATCATAACAATAAACTTACAATGAAGTCCAGACGCAGAAGGTTTCAAGCCACACTAAGTTGAAACTCCACAAGTCAACACAGCAGCAAACATAGTATTCAAAACAAAAAACCAGTAATAACCAGTCTGAACCAGTTGGATCTATTTTTCTGACACAAGTCTTGTAAGAATAAAGAAGAAAAGGGAAAATCAGAAATACCAGTTGCATCCATTTTCTGAGACACGCCTTTAAAGAACTAAGAGGAAACAAGAAATGCAGTTATATCATGTGCTACTTCATGTGCATGAAACTTGAAAGCTGAAAAAGGTTCAGAGGTTTGAACAGAAGTTTACAATCTACAGAGAATAAAAATAAAAAACCGCAGTTGATTTTGACGTGCTTCTTGGTTGTCACAGATGTTTAAACAGAAGTTTACAATCTACAGAGAATAAAAATAAAAAACCACAGTTGATTTTGGTTGTTACAGTGGAAATATGTACTTACTGCACGAAGCTCACCACCAAGGCCAATTTCTCCGATGAATGCAATGTTATTGGGAATGGGAAATTCCAAGAAACTGAAATGAGAAAAAAAAAAAAAAAAACAGATTGATCATATTTCAACTTCTGCATCCAATATCAACATCTATGGGACCAAAGACGGGACAAATTAACCAAGAGAGGAGCATTTTGAAAGAATGCAAACTGAAGGTCACAGGTTGCACTGGCAGAATTCACAACAGTATATTTATATTTATCAGGTATGTAAGGGTAGACGGGATGCCAATCATTTCCGATTAAAAAAATATGCATATCAGTTATAAGAGCATGAAGGAAAGGAGAGAACCAGACTACAAATCACACACCTGCTGCAAATTGCAGCTGCTATTGCAACATCACCAGCAGTCTCTGTCAGCATTACCCCGCTAACAACATTCAAAAAGATGGCCTAGTTCAGAAAAAAGAAATAGAAGAAAAAACAAATGAGAATTAAACAAAAAACCACTAATTTTAAACTAGAATAATTTTAAAAGGTATCAAGTCACATTAACAAAATGAATATTTTAATCATCTCTAAATCATGAAAAACAAGACAAGGAAATCCTAGAGTTGTGTTAAGGCATTCGGTCATTAGTTCACTTGCAGAGTACAAAAGAAACATGCTACGGATGCTTAAAGTCATTAAGTGAGGAAAAAATAAAAAGCTCGTATGGATTTTCAACATTCATAAAATGCATCTTATTTGGTTCATTTACAGATTCCTGTGCATTTTAAAAATTCAGTACTCTGCCTTTGCAGATTTCTGCATGTTGACAGTCATTTGACTGATATTGCACAGGTTCAAATTAAAGTTTTGCTTTTTTTTTTCCCTTCATATTTCACATAATCCCGTTTAAGAAGAGTTCAATATAAATGAAAAGCAGGAGATTCAAATACAAAACTTTAGAAAGACATGTTTTATTAGATTGGCCACAATGGTAAATTCTTTCATAACTGTTTTTTAGGAAATTATTTGACTGATATTGCACAAGTTCAAATTAAGGTTTTGCTTTTTTTTCAGTTCATATTTCACATAATCCAGTTTAAGACGAGTTCAATATAAATGAAAAGCAGGAAATGCAAATACAACACTTTAGAAAGACATGTTTTATTGGATAGGCCACAATGACCACAACCCCAGAAAAGGAACATGAAAAATCAGCTTACATTCTCTTGGAGCATTAAACCAGCTTGCTTTATAAGAACCTAGAACCAGAGACATGTGAAATAGTTAAAAAAAAAAAAATGCTTGTCAACTTTTCAAAGTGAAATATTTAAATATAAGCTAAAATAGGCTGTCACTTCAGAGATTCAGTTGCTACTTCAGCATTGGCTTTGCTTTACTTTTAGTTTGGAAGCAAAGAAAGGAGGAAAAATGTGTTTGTGTGGGTGTGCACGCACATGTGTGAACACATGAAGATTGTAAATAACATATCTTGTTCAAATTTACATTTCTAAACATGAAAAGTTAGGTAATTTCATCTTATACTCTCCAACACTTACAGAAATCAAACAAATAATTCAAGTTAACAAAATGTTCCTTTCTTCTCACCCAAAAGAATTGTCCAAGCTCATAAGACAAACACATGGTAGTGATGATGTAAGTTAGTGAGTGCAGACTTCAATTTCATTTCATATCCAAAAAGAAACGAGGAGAGGGTGCCCACCACCATGGTTCTTGGTTGGAATCACAAGGTGTTGTAGTTGTAAGTATTTAAAGAACAAATGAGATTTTTTTGTAAACTGTAATCATGTAATGGCCATGATGTCCATAACATAACAGTGATTCCCTCCATTGGGATATGCCAATGCCCAAATCATATAGGCCCTATATCACAACAGGAGGGCCAAAATCAAATTACATAGTGGGAATTATGTCCAACTTCCTATGTACTCCTATTCAGTCAGGCCACTTGCAGTGGCTGAGAACTGGGTTACCTCCAGCTAAATGCAGTTCAAGTTTGAACTTTATCCTAGGTGACCTTGTGGTAGTATGTATTCTTTGAAGGTTGACCAAGAAGATTGCTCACCAAATAGCCATTCTTGATTTCAAGGTTTTAACCCAATTCACAGAATCACATCTATGTTCTCAAGGATTAATATCTATCCAAGGGATGCTATTGTCCCGACCCTCGAGATCATGACATTGGTTTCTAGCATGCATTACTTCTTATGAACAAGTTAAAGATTTTTGCCAATTTTCAAAGATAAGTTCACTGGGACAATGATATAAAAGAGAGATGACTGAAAATAAGCAATCACAATTTAGCCAGTACAGGCCAACCTAAAAAAAGAGATATGACATCGATTATACATCTGAACAAAAAATCTAAATCAAAAAAGAAAAAGAAAAGGTGTATCCAGCAGCAATTATGACAAGCATATGAAATCTTATCAAAGCCTTAGATTACTTACAGAAATGATCATGTCAGCTCGGCTTGATTGGATTCCATTAATGTGCCTTGAAACTGATGAACCAGAGACACAGAGTGCCTGAATAAAAGTTTTAATGGACCATCAGCATTTGGTGAAAATAAATAAATGAACAAAAAAAAAAAAAAAAAGGAAACCTCAGTAAAATCATCATTGGACTTCTTATCCTCAATAATGGTGTATCCACTGCATACATGAAATTTTAAAAAAGTAAGAAGTATAAAAGGTAATTATAAAGATTACCTGAATTTCAATAAGGAAACTTCGAGATCCATCCATTATTACAGCAACAGCTAGCCCAGCTAAAAAATCTGAATCTGAGTGTTGCTCAGTTAAGAATATCTCACTTGGATTGGAAACAACTGCCAGACCCAACTGTGACATTTCAAAAACTCCAAGCTGACAACAAGGGATAATTCTAACATCAGTTCAGAAATGCAAAACTAGCATCTAAATCTTTAGAAACATCAAGGAGAAAATTCACATTCATTTTTTAAATTATTTCCAGGAAAATCCCTCCACAAAGATTTCTAGAAAACAGAAAGTTACAGCTGCTGTTCTGAGACAATACATGTTATAGACAACATATGTAATTGCTTGAGCCATGATGCAGTAAAGTAATCCAAACACCATCCCAGAAAATTAGAATTTAAACACCAATTTGGATTATGCAGTGCTCTACTGTAAAAGTATTAAAAATTCATTAAATAGGTAAATTACTACATGGTATAAGATTTCTTCAGTAGATCTTATTTGAACATGAAAATTTCAAATTTTAAAATAAAACTAGAAACTTTAGCACAGGAAAGTTAACAATTAATCCAATATTTCTTTCCAAAACAAGCCAAAAGTTGGTAGAACTGCAATGCATAGAGGATATAGGACCCAGCTCCTATGTATTGACTGAAAAATTAAAATTGCAATGTCAAAAGTCTTAGACAAATTCCAAATTGGAGGGGAAAAAAGTTAAATACCAGAATGTCCAGATGAAATGAATGCATGCCACAAATATGCACAAAGTTGTAGATCCCTAGAATTGCACACCTCATCTGTGGACCCAAAACGATTCTTCACAGGTCGAAGCAACCGATGAGATGAGTACTTCTCCCCCTGGTAGTTAGCATGACATGTCACTGATTAGCAATCTTCACATTCCAAGTAAAAAAAAAAACAAATGCCTTGGAATCCCACCAAAGTAATGGGTTAAAGTTGCAATTGAAAACTAGCAGTTGAAGTTTCTCTAAAAAAATGTATAACCTGAGAGGCATCCTTTAAACAGATAAAGAATGCCAAATAGAAAAGGTAAGAAAAGTAGTGTACAATCTACAGTATAACCAATTACTAGCTTTGCCAACTATCCAAAAAAGATAATTTAAGAAGGTACTAACTTCCATATATAAGACAACATCAACAATGTGCTCCAATACACGAGGCCCTGCAATATCTCCAGATTTATTCACATGTCCAATCTGCAGAACATTATAAAAAGAAAAGAGATGAAAAATAAAGGGACAAGAGCAGAAAAGATTATTTGCATGCAAGATAGAGATTTACAGTAATAGCATGTCAATAATCATAGAGAAACCTACAGATTGACAGATGTATAAATCTAATAATAGAAAAGGATAAGCAAAAAACAAGAGAAGAAAATAAACAATTAAAGACAAGCAAAAAATCAATCTAGCCCCCTTTACCAAAGTGACACTGAAAAGTAAATTGATTCAAAAGAAAAATGAGGGAAAAGGGAGATCAAACTTTCAAGTTAAGGACTTGGCAAGACTATGGTATAAAAGACAGTTTTGTAACTCCTACAGTGAGAGACCGAAGAGACAAAAGCCAAAGAGTGCTTGCTTACTTCCATCGCTAATAAAGAGGTATGACTCCAAAGAACAAGAGCAAAATCAACCAACCAAGTAATGACATGATGATCTGGAAGCATATACCATACATGTCTATTTGGGATCATTTAGTTCCTGATGTATTCTCTATCACCAGGCATTACCATACCAGAGTGAACAAACCATCCCTATATATTAGTACTTCTCCCTAGCAGTCCCTGAAGAAAGTTCACTGACAAAAGAAAACAAAATCCAGAACTGAGCAAAACTTAAGAGCATAACTATTGTCTCAGCTATAACCCAGCACCTCATGCACAATATTATTTCCTATTCTCCATAGTTTCCAAATTTTTAGTTTTGATTTGATTTTTAATTTTTTCTCTATCCACTTGTTTGTCAGTCTAAGAAGGATCAGTCTTGCATGTATACTTGTGTATTTGGTGGGATCTCCTTTATGCTTTTCAATAGACTTTAACTCTTCAGAAGCAATAATTAAAGAAAAGAATTAATTTATCTGCTGCACCTGCAATGAAGAGAAATCAACACAGATGAGAGTAACAAAGTAAATGGATTACATTAATTCAAAACACCAAAGCAATAACAGTCTAGTTGATTTTTTTGACACATGGTGTGAAAGCATACAGAACCCAACTTTTTGGTAATCTCAAGTTATAATTGAATAATGAATTCAAAGATATTAAACGAAACTAGATTAGTAATTTTTAGGTTATTGCACAGGATTCTCACCAAAAGTATTGGGATGTTAGTTGTCTTCGCAAAACGCAACAGGGCTGATGTGCATTCCTTAACCTGTCACATATCCATACAGTAACAGCAATCAGCAACTCTCTCCTGAAACCACCAGATAAATGTGCCCACAGCACACAGATATTTGCATTTTTGCTTCAGAAAGCAAAGAGCATAGGAAAAGGACCGCCAAAATTTACACATAATGCTTTCTGACAACATCATTCTGAAATGTTTGCATTACTTTTGCTCACAGAGAATGAAGATAGGTGGACAAAAGGTGCTGTCTTTCATGTGTGAGGCCTCTGGATTGTCAACAAGACAGTAACTTTAAGAAAAGTAGTTGCATTTTGAGCGCAGAACTACGTAGAAAATGAGGCGATTTACATAACTTTGGGTCAAAATACATTGCTTAGCACCATGTCTTCTTGCACTGATGCACCCCATAAGAGTTGAATACGTTAAGCTAAAATCTGATATTGCACTTGGCAGTCTATAGTGCATAAAGTTCCAACCTGTGACAGTCCTCCAGCACTTCCAGCAACTCCTTTCAGATAAACTGTTTGAATTGAATCAATAATCAGAGCACGGGGGGAGAGATGCTGAATTTTTCCAAGTATATCCTGAAAAAGGGCAAGGAAACTAATTATGAGAAGTTCGTACAAAAGTATCTTAGACCTGGATGATTGAGTAGAATGCCCATTCATGATCAGCCTGAAAGAGTTTAATAAACGAGCACCAAAATAATCACTAAAGAAAAGGGATGGTTCAAATCAAAACTATTACCAACAAACCAGTTAGGATAAGTCCGAAATTGTTCACCTCAATATCAGTACTGGAATACAAGTAAAGCTCCTCAGTTCCAATCTCCATACGGTCAGCTCTGTTTCCAATTTGCTCTACACTCTGCCATGAGGAAGAAAAAAGTGAAATGGTATTTGCTTGTTGATAATAAGATCAAGACTTATATTACCAAATAAATGTCAAAATTTATCTTAGGATAGCAGCCCAACTGTTGTAGCCTTCCAGGAGCAAAACATGAGTTAGATAGCTTGAGTACCAATTTCAGGGCCTCCCGCCCTATCCCTATCTAAGAGGTGATAATCCTTAAGATTTCCTCATTCTAAGTTCAGAGTTAAAAATCAGGTTTTCCCTTCTAATAATTTTACTAAAAAGCCTCATTAAAACCATGTAAAACTGGTATGTCATTTTCTGCACAGGTAAGAAAGCATATGGCCTTGTCATTTTTTTGGTGGGTGGCCAAGAGGGCTATTGAGAAAGCATGAAGCATGTGAAATTTGTCTGCAGGAAACACTAACCTCTTCACCAGAAACATATACAACTGGAGCTGATCCACCAAGATCCTCACTGTCAGCTATTATTGCAGCAACCTTTCAATTCAAAAGAGTTGACATAGGATAGAATACTTAATAGAGGGGTTATTTTGGATCAAACGAGATCAAATCAGGCATATAGAAAAAAAATCTGGTCACATAAAAAAATTAAAGCAACAAATTCTGACGATTAAAAAAATTAAAGCAACAAATTCTAACGATGTAGAAGCACATAAGATCAAAATTATTACAAGAAACTCACCTGCAATAACAGTGTGCTCTTGCCGACCCCAGGATCGCCACCAACCAAAACCAAAGAACCTTCAAAATCAAAGGACATATAACCAAAGTAAACTTTGAGTCCACTTCTTACAGAAGAATGACTTGAGCATCAAAAACAGACAATTTTGAAAAGACTTGACTTAAGACATGAAAGAAGTAGCAAAATACAGAGAAACATCTGTGTGCAGGATTAGAAAGCAGGACTTAAAGCCTATGGATTTCAATCATGTGCTTCATTGCTCCTAAAACTTCCAGCTAATAAAATTCAGCAAGTCAAAAGGTCAGGAAACAAAGTAATATTTCCAAATGCTAGAGGCTATAACTGGTTATGTTCTACAAAAAATAGAGTTTTTTGTAAAGAATGTTTGGAGAGACCAACTTTTCAATATTTCATCGTAAAGTGGCTGCTCTAAAAACTTGAACTTGCTATATTGTGGTTGCAAGCCCATGACCCATCACCAAGCAATGGCTTCTATGCTTTTTACCCCAAAACAATTATTAATTTAAAATATTATCAAGTAAATCTGATGAAACCTGGAACAAGACCACCCCCAAGCACCCTTTCAACTTCACTTCCAAAAAGTCCAGACCTGGATCACAACCAAAAAATATGAAAACAGATTTCCTAAAGCATATATAACTATGAACTCAATCAATCAATATCATGAAACATCATAAATTCATCATTACAGATCCAAAGCAGTTGTGCAATTGAAAAGTAAACTACATTTTATAAGCAAATGCCTAAAAGCTATAGAAATTCTCTGCCATTCCACAAAAAAAGGAGCATGGCTGCAATAACGGAGGTATCTGTCATAATAAATGTTGGAAATTGTTTTACATATTCAATGAGGGGATGTTGGCTGCAAGAGCTGTCCACAAATGGTGCAGAGGAGTCAACCAAACAATGCACGTTGAAAATAATAAAAACCTAGGCATGGAGGACCCTCCAGGCAATCCAATGATGTTCTCACTCGAACATAAGAGAGTTGTTTCTCTTCATATAAAAATCATATTCCTATTGTATCCTTCATACTTCACAACAATTCCATACCTCCATTGAATTTTTAATCACCAGATTACACATGTGTTGCAGCCATTACAACATACAAAAAAAATAAAAAAAAACAGTTGCATACGAAGGCATTGAAAGTAACAGACAGAATAATGAACACCCTACATAAAAACACAATATCTTAGTTTTTAGTAACGTTTCTTGTTCAAATAAACAAAAGTCTCTGCTCAACCAAGGCTAATTGGCTGTGACCTTACATTTCCTCTAAAAACCAGACTATGTTATTTAACAGGATACATAGCGGTTTAAAAGTTCAATTTGGTGGAATTAAATGGGTTCCATGAGTGCAACCATCACCACCCACCATTCCACCAACAGCACTCACCACAGTCCCCACAACCATGGCCACTGCCCTTGCAGCCATACCTCCACAGTATTCCACAATTGACATTTCAACCCCTAGATCTTTAACTTCTCACCAAAATCAACTGATATAACCACTTGTATAAGCGGGTAGCAGGAATCAAACCCGCATCATAAGCTTAGAAGGCTAGGGGTTATAGTCCTTTATAACATCTCATTTCAAAACGGAACAGAAGACTTTGGTTTCATTCCACTCCTTTGTGAAATATGAAAAAAAAAATCGAGCAATAAGACAGGAGCAAAAAACATAAAATTCATAACATCTATGCAGCTATCTTTTGTCTTAATGCATGGTTAATCCTATTATTTTATTACAATAGCAACAAAATAAAAAGAAAAGAAAAGATGCATCACAAATTCTAGTGGTATTTTCGGTTGCCAAAACAACAAAACAGGAAATAAATCCCAAAACTGATAAGATATCAACTTACAAAGGAATACGCCAATTCAACATATTCATCCCACGATTCACATCTGTCAGCCTCAAAGGACGCAACTCCCCAGGCTTCTGTGGCAGCCAAGACCGCACTGCATTCTCCGAAGCCTCGATCCCACTCACCTTATTCCCACTCCCAATTTTCGCCTCAAAAAATTGCTTCATTGTCCCTACTTCATTGCAGGAACGACAAGACCCCCACCATTGCCCTGATGTAAACCCACAAATTTCGCAAACCCAACTGGTTTTACTTTTCCCCTTCGTCCTATACACCGCTCTATCCCCAGATCCCACCGCCCCATTAACTGAACTCCCCTTCTTCACACCCATATATCTCTTTTCCTTCTTCAAATCCTCTATTTCATTACGATTACTCGGCAATCCCATCTGGGTTTTCTCTCGTTTGATTAAATTCTCTCCCGCTAAGCCATCCACTTTCTCATCAAAACTGGACAGCCTGAGCTCTGATTCTCTAAACTCAGCACTACTGCTGGCGCCACTCTGCTTCCCCGTCCCATCCGAGATTGGGTCGAAAACACTCCAAACTAGAGGGGCATTTTTGGAGTTGTCAATGGGAGTGGGGTCGTTTGCGGAGGAATGGACAGCGAGACCAGATTTTTTGCAAAGGAAAGGGGAGGTGGTGAGGTGGAAATGGCGGGAGAGAGAAATTGGGTTGGGTTTTAAGAGCAAACGGTTTCTGTAAGTGTAGAATGATCTTATCACTTTCATGGCTGTTGTTTGCATCAGGGAGGGAGAAAGTGAAAAGTCTAATTCATGAAGAAATGAGTTAGGGTTTCAGGGTTTTGAGGATGAAATAAAATGGGAAACCCGCCAAGTTCAAAACAAAAGGAAAGGGTTAGAAATCAATATGTGCTCGGTTGTGTGATGAAATTATTTTTTAAAAATATATTAAAAAATAAGTAATTTTATATTTTTTTTCAAATCAAAATACATTTTTAAAATGAAATCAAACGTTGTTCCAAATATAAAAATAAATGATGATTAAGTCTACGAAGTTTCTTCGCTCTAAATTTTGGTATATAGTGACATTTTGAGGGTTTTTTTTGGTTTACTTTGTGAATTTTTGTCAATTCAGATTTTTATGCCAAAAAAAACATATTATCGTAAATTCACTTTTACAAAATGGCTATGATAATTTTGAGGGATAATTACATTAAAAAAAATTCAAGAACAAATGTTGAGATTTCCTATACCAAATTGCTTATGTTTTTTATTTAAAAGAATGACCATGTTTGATTGAAAAACCTAATTAATGATCATATTTCATCTCACTATCAAATTTTATTGAAGTTTATAAAAGTGTGGTGTTTTTTTTTTTATATCTCTCATTATACATCTTAATCTTATTTTTTTATATATCTTCAAAACAAGATTGTTAAAATTACAAATTAACTTATAAAATCAAACAACACATGTTATACATGTGAAATCACTTTGAAAACTTGAAAATGGTTAACATCAAACTATAATTAGGTAAAATCGGATAATATCCTGATTTTAAAATCAATTTTGCAATTTCACAAAAATACATGTATTGCACCAAATTTTTATCTCCAAAATTCAGCCCTCCACATCAGCTCCAAACCACATGTACAATATTTACCCTATATTTACCCTAGTCTCTTTTAATTTTTTTCCTCCCAGACATTCAACAATCAACCACTATTAATAACTCTCTTGTTTTTTTTCATCATCGACTGCATCTATTTCCTAGCCACTATGAGTTCCAGACAATGGCATCCTCTCCACCAACAATTGTAAGTTATTCTATAGTTCTGTTTATTTTTTTCCCATTAGACACTGACTAAGGATCATTTTACATTACTACCTTATTTTTTTTGTTTTCTTTTTAATTTATGAGTTTATTTAGAGTAATATACTTGTTTATTCAAGTTTTTTTTTCTCTAGATTGAAAAGGATAGTAGCTCTACGCATGAAGTATTTGGTTTTGGGATATAGAAATGATGGTGAAAAATAAATATCTAAAAAGGTGAAGATAATGCTACATATTGGCCACTGCACAATATCTTTCTCATTCCTCCCCCCACCAAGTATGCAATCTAACTATGGTTAGAATTGGATTGTTACTCGCTGATCTTTCTTTAGACAATTATGAAAAAACAATACACAATTCTTGTTCTTTGCACACATTCAAGCTTTGGACTAAAGATACAGTAGTTTTTATTTTTTGTAGTTTTATAAGCCAAGTGTAGGTGTAGACACTTGTATACTAGTAGATTGTTTGTTTATTTTAAATTTGTTAACTGTTAGTTAATAAAAATAATGAATAAAATAATTATATTGTATTTTTAAATTACTTAAATTATATATGAAAAAAAATTTCCTTACTATATAACGATCTATTTTTATTATCTGAGTTTATATTATATTTTTCATATCGTGTCAAAAATGTGTATAAGGGTACAAAACTATCTATACTTTGTGTTGATTACTCTTTTTATTTTGATTTTTTTAATTTTAGATAGTAATTAAGAGTGTAATAGTAGTTCTTTTTTGGAGTATTTTTCATTTAAAAATACATGAAAATAATAATTTTTTATTTTAAAAAATATTTTTAACATCAGTATATTAAAATAATTTTAAAATATTAAAAAATAATAATTTTAAGTAAAAAAATAAAATTTTATAAAACACATACATCAGTTGTGTGTAAACCCTATCATTTATGATCCCATCATAAATTTTGAAGTTGAAGTAAAATATTTTAATTCATTTACATAAATTTTGAACTTAACCTTTATTAAATTTGATAGTGCTAGGACTTTGTATTTGATTTGATTTTTAAAATAACTTTTCGTATTTTAAAATATTATTTATAAGGTTAAAAGAATTGATTTGGTGGTCTTTCAATATAATTTGATAGGTGGAATAGTGAAGTCTCTGTAACTGTTATTGTGATGGAAGGCCTTAATTCAAACACTCAATAAATTATGTATTAAAATTAAGAGAAAAAAACTATAAATAGTGAGTTAAAATAACCAATAATTCAAGTATTTTCTATAGATTTTAGTCCATTGAGGTTATATGGATGCTACCTCTTTTTCTGACTTATGAATCATTTAAGAGTTAATTTCATAGATCGGATAAAAAAAATTCAATGTAGCAAAAAAATATTTAACTTGTAAATAATTATTTGATATTATTATTAAATCTAGTCAAGTATATTAATTTTAAATTTTTTTTAATTTAACTCCTTATTTAACTTAGATTTAAAATCAAACTATGTAGAAATTATCCTAATATTATCTACTTGACATGGTTACTCCATAAACAGCTTAGTTGAATGATAAAAAGAGCAAAAGAATGAAATTTACAAATTGACAAAAAAAAACTCATGACCTGACTCTTTACTTAACTTATATTTAAAATTAAAACATGTAAAAGCTGTGTTCATGTAATCTAGTTAACTTAACCGATTCAAAAATAACGTAGATGATCTAGAGATAAAATTAAAAAAATAAAATTGAAAGAAAAAGGGAGGGAAATGAAGGGGAAAAAAAAGAAAAAGAAAAGGTGGGAGCTAAATAGGAAAAAAAAAAAAAAACTTCATTGTGAAGCTCATTACTATGAAGCTCATTATGTTAGGGTAATAGGTGAAATGTTACATCACCATCATCATTTTTTTAATAGTGTTTAGAATAATGGATGAACTGTGCTTTTAAGAAATTTTTTAATTCTTTTATCTTTAGATTGATTTTTTGTGTTTTTATTATTATTTTGATATGCTGATATTAAAAATAATTTTTTTTAATATTATTTGAATATATTCTAAAGTAAAAAGTACTTTGAAAAATAACATTTAACTCAATCTCAAACACGCTCTTCATATCGTATCTCTAAATTTAAATGAGTTCAAATTTTATAATATGAAAGATTTGGAAGGGTGGGAGAGATGGGAAAATATCACTTAAAAAGTACTGTTTTTTCCTTGTTCTCTTAGAATTAAGCATGGTCCAAAGCTAAAGGTATATCGAATCACCTTTTTTGGATTAAAAATTTTATTTATTTTACCAAAAAAATTTTTGTGAAATTTATTTTTCTAAAAAGGAAATTATTTTTTATTATTTAGATATGTTAAAAAAATTATTTTTATAAGATACATTTACTTTCGCTAGTAGCTTTAAATAATGATAATAAAAAATATATGATATAATGATAAAAATAATAATACTGGTAATTATGATAATTATGATAATATTATTGGTGATGGTTATTGACACGACTAAAAGATTGATGTCTTCTCCCAAGTGCAGGAGTGTCGAAGTAATAAATAACCCGGCAAGACCAGAGTCGAACCACGGGGAGGTTAATTGTACAAATTATAAACAACAATTATAAACAACAACAATAATAACAATAACAACAACAATAATGATACTAATAATACTAGTAGTAGTAGTAGTAGTAGTAGTAGTAGTAATAGTAGTAGTAGTAATAATAATAATAATAATAATAACAATAATAAAGAAAAAAAAGAAGAAGGAGAAGAAGAAAAGTTGATGAGAACTTTGATATGGAAAATTAACGTAAGGATTAAACAATGATAACAAACAATGTCAAGGTTAGAGATCCACTAATGGTATGTCAAACAAGTATAGTAAGAACTCTTATTATTCAATTGGAAACCACACACAAAGGAGGTTCCAATTAAATTATAGATTATTAACATGATTACATTAGTGATCTTATTTAATTAATGCTAATACTTGTAAATTTCATCAAGTATTTATGATTATAACTTATGTTAACAACAAATCAAGTTCCTTTCATAGCTCAGGTGTCGGTTATACCCTTGTACTAACACATCTTCAATTATTCCTTGGTATGGGCTATAAAAGTGCCAAGCAAGTAAAAGAGATATAGAAGTTGGTTTTAACTCACCTAGATTGAGACTCTGAAAAACTGAATATGGAAGTAAATTCACACTAGCACCAAGATCAAGTAAGGCTCTTTTAATTTTATGCTCTCCAATAAAGCAAGAAATTGTAGGACAACCAGGGTCTTTATATTTCAAAGCATTATTGTTCTGAAGAATAGCACTTACTTGTTCGGCTAGAAACATTTACTTGTTCGGCTAAAAAGGCTTTTTTTTCACATTCAGTTTCCTCTTCACAATGCATAGATATTTCAAAAATTTAGCATAGGAAGGAACCTATTTAATAGCATCCAGCAAAGGTATATTGATTCTTGCCTGTTTGAAAATTTCAAAGATTTTAGAGTTGTGATTGACTTTCCTTTGTTTGGTCATGGCTTGAGGAAATGGAAGTGCTGGCGAGGAATCAATTGTTTCTTTACAATTTTCATATTCAACCTCTTCCTTACCCTTAGAGATTGACTCATCATCTTTCTCATAAGGTTCAAGAGTAGGTTTTTCAATAACCTTACCACTGCGAAGAGTAATGACTGATTTGACTTGATCCATGTGTTGGCTTCCAGAACTACTTGCATTTGCATTGTATTGCCCCTTGGGATTTTGTTGTGGTTGAGATGGAAACTTACCCTTCTCTTGGAAACTGAGAGCAGATGTTAATTTTGCAAGAGTATCTTTAAAATCTATCATGTTTTGAGCAAATTGAGTATTGATTGTCTCTTGCTTTTCAATGAATGCATGCAATGTTTCCTCAAGATTTCTTCTAGGAGGTGGAGCATAAGGAGGTGTATATCCATGAGAATTTTGGAAATTATGGTGTGCTTGAAATGATGGTTGTGAAGTTTGTGCATTGTTGTTCTCACTCTTTCAACTAAAATTTAGGTGATTTCTCCAACCAGAGTTGTATGTTTATGAGTATGGGTTGTGGTTGGCCTTTTGGGAACTATTTAAAGCATGCGCTTGTTC